CACCCAAAATTTCAAGATTCTAGCTTCAGCCGTTTCGTCTGGGCGTTAATGAATCGTTAAGTCAGTCAGTAAGTCAATCACTTTACTCTTTTATTAGTATAGATAAACAAGCCGACCTCACTATGAGTTGGATATTTAAAATACAAAACATCAATCAGGATATGTTGACTATAGACTCAGTATGGAAAAATGAGCTAGGACCTTAAAGATATCGAAAATGACGCATTACGATTGAAAAAAAACATTACTGAAGTCATGAAGATATTAATCATTTTTTACCCTCAGCCTTATGACAATGAGAATACGGCAAAAAGTCCCTCATTGAAGTATTGGTACTAAGAATCATGGAGTCTGAATGTTTCTTTGGACCAAATCCGTTTCAGACAATTTGCAGTCGATTTACAAATTTCCGTGAGTCTGGCCGGCTGGTGCGCACGATAACTCTTGAAGGGAGTAACCGATTTCATTCAAATGTTGTATATCGTTGTATTTATTACAAACTTAGATCAAGTTCGAAGATGCAGAATATCGGTCCACTCCGTTTTTGGTACCTCTCTCAAAATAGGGTCAACATTTTGAGGAAGATTTATTTTATAATATTACGTGTCCGTTCATCCAATGAAAGATGAGACTTATCGGCCCACATCTCCTCCACAAAGGATCAAAATTTTCAATTTTTATAAATCCAGTATCAAGCTAATGGAATGTCCGATTTGTCCGAAGTCTGCACATATTTTTACCAATCCTAGAAGATGGGGAATATCGGCCCACTCCTTCTAGTACCTCCAGGTACCTGTAGAAATTTGGCTGAAAATTAATCTTATAATATCTGGCGAATGGACTATCCGATTTGAACCAAATTTTGCTCAACCTAATATTAGATTCATGATTGCATATTGTGAGAATATGGGGCCCATCTGTCTACTTCTTCTGGTCCTCCCCCACAAAGGGTCAAAATATTGGCAATTTGTAAATATCATGTGAAGTGAACGGAACATTGTGTCATTATTGATAATGTTTGGCAGGCAAATCTGAGAGAGAAATTTTGAAATTACAATCGATTCGGTTGAAAACCGTGCTCAAACTCTCGATTGAAACAAGAATCCCGAAATTTCGTTAGAGGGTCAGTATTGTGTAAAAAGTTGGCTTATGGAAATTTGGGTACTATAAGGGTACGAAAAAGTACCAAACTTGCTAATTCCAATAACCAATGTCCAGAAAAATGGACTGAAGTTTTGTATGTGCGTCAGTATTAATTCGAATGTGGGTGTATAATCTGGGTATTGTTGGAGTTCGTACTAAACCGAAAAGTACTAAAAAAGGTACCATTGACATTGTGTGAATGGATAGGTCTAGAACTCTGAAATTTAGACTGTGGGCTCATAATGGAGAGTTGAGTGAAGGTACCAAAGGTTGTACGAAAGACAATATACAATCTATTAAATAGAGCAGAAAACGAGGCGGTGGTCCAAAAACCAAAATTAATACGGGTACTGAGAGCATAATTATTAGGAAAATTATGCAAAACCTTCAAATTTCCACAAGGATGCTTGTGAGGGAGCTGAAGGAAGAGTATGGTGTTAAAGTTTGTCACGAAGCAATTCGACAGACTATATTAAAAAACAAATACAAATATAGACGGAAGGTTTTTATTCGTCAATATCAACATTTCACACCCAACTGAATATTGAGACGAAGTTTTATTTTGTAATGAAACCAAAATTATGTTATTTTATAATGATGGGACCACAAGAGTTTGGCTCATGCCTTTAAAAGCACTATAAAGGCAGAACATCATCCCAACAGTCAAATTTGGAAAAAATGTCAATAACGATTTGGGGAGTGCGTATCAAGCTAAGGCGTGGGAGTTTTGGCTTTTATATAAACAACGATAGATGCATAACAATATCTAAAGATTAAAAAATATATATTTGATAACCAGTTAGCACTGGTTTCACTTTCGGTTCATCAGGGACACGAAGATATATTTGAAGTTTTATCAGGATAATGATCCTAAACATAATGTTTTTCGGGAAAGATTGCGCTGCCCTCGATATTTGCATCACAAAAATGCAAAGTCCTGGTAGTAGTGGTAGTTGTCCTTGGTCAAACACGACTCGGGTTGTTTCAAGGATACCATTGTGATTACAGCAGGTAAAAATTTTAATTCCTTTGACACTGACATAAAATAGAATAAATTTGAATCATAAAAAACTATTTATTTATTTATTTGTTGTATTTTATTAACAATGGATTTTCTAATGGAATTCTTGTTTGGTGGTTGGTAAAAAATGAAATAAAATTTTACGATGTATATAATTTTCATTAAATTTTCCATTTTTATTACTTTTCATCTACAATTTCACTTCATCTGTCCAAAAAAAATTGTGTTCTATTTCTTTTCTTCCCTTTTTCTCCTCTCGTCAAAGATCATCGCTCAATGGGGGTTCGTCATCAAAGTTGTCGTCATGTCGTCATAAAACTAATTGTTTACGGCAGATAGTATTTTCATTGATTTTGTGCCACGCTCAACATTGTAAAGATGTCAAATGAACGCAACCTGTTTGCTGGACAGACATACGGTGTTCAACATCTTGCTCCACGAAACTCTCAATTTAATTTGTTTTGTAACGAATAGATAACGTACGATGCCGGTTCGGAAACTTCTTAGCCTATCTATGAAAGAGAATAGTTAGTGTTTCGAAAATATTTTTATTTTTCAATATAATCTCCTGAATCTTCAAATAATTTTCCTCAAGGTTTCCAAAATTGTGGTTTACAAGTGTAATTGCATCTTCATTTGAGGTAAAACGATTGCCAGCAAGGATTTTTTTTTGGATTTGGGAGCAAGTAAAAGTCACTGGAAGTTAAGTCAGGAGAATAAGGTGGTTGGTCAAGCAATTCGTACTTTAATTCGTTGATTTCAGCCATTGTTAAAACACTCTTGTGCCGATTTAAACAAAATTGTTTGTCAATCGTACACATTTTGGGTTTTTTGTGCACACTTTACATAAAATCGAAGGTAAATGTAAATGGGAGCTATATCTAAAACTGAATCGATTTTCACGAATCTTAGCACACATTACTCTAGACTTAATTCCGAACGCTGTGCCAAATTTCGTGCAAATCAAAAGATATATAGGGACTTTGGTACACCATTTACATAAAATCGGACGAAAATATATATGGAAGCTATATCTACATAAATCTGAACCGATTTTCCCCAATTTCAATAGGATTCGTCCTTGGGCCAAACAAATGAGCTGTACCAAATTTCCTCCAAATCGGATTATAAATGCGACCTGTACTTAGTTTACAATTTAACGCCAACAGACAGAAATACGGTCGGATAATACATAAATCGACTCATTCTCAAAATGGACCACAGTGTGGTGAAGGGTATACAAATGAATGGAAATCTATCAGATTTTAATTACTATCGCTTCTACACCTTTTTATACCCTCCACCATAGTATGGAGGGTATATTAGTTTTGTTTTTCCGTTTGTAACGCATCGAAACAATCATTTCCGACCCTATAAAGTATATATATTCTTGATCAGCGTAAAATTCCATGACGATTTAGCCATGTCCGTCTGTCCGTCTGTCTGTCTGTTGTAATCACTCTAGCGTCTAAACGAATTGAGAGATTGGGGTTCTTGAGCGTGTTTTTCAACCGAATTTGGTGAAATTTGGTACTTTGAGCTCTTATTGGGTAGCAAATCTCCCCACTAAAAATTATAAATATAGGTCCATTTTTTCGGACAGCCCCCATATAAGGGTACCACCAATTTTCGGTATTTTGAGGTTCTTGAGCGCGTTTTTCAACCAAATTCGCTGAAATTTGGTACTTTGAGTTCTTATAAATATAGGTCAATTTTTTCTGGTACCCCCCATATAACGGTACCGCTCAATTTTCGGTATTTTGGGGTTCTTGAGCGCGTTTTTCAACCGAATTCGCTGAAATTTGCTACATTGGATTCTTATTGGGTACTAAATGTCTCCACAAAAAATTATAAATATAGGTCCACTTTTTCTGGTAGCAACCATATAACGGTACCTCCTAATTTTCAATATTTCGTGGATTTTGATTGTATTTTTCCGCCGAATTAGCTGTAATTTAGTATTTTGAGTTCTTAATAGGTCCCAAATCTCTCCACAAAAAAATTTTGAATATAGGTCCATTTTTTCCGATAGCCCCCATATAAGGGTATTAAAATGGTTACCTGATTTGTTCCGCGTTTTGAGTTTGGTTCTAAGTCTCTGATGTAATCATTTCACCTGTGGAGGATATCGAGATAAACAAGTAGAACGTAAGGTTCGATATGAACTATAACCCGCATTTAGACCTAGCCCCTGTATGGAGGTTCCAGAAGAAGTGGACCGATATTCCCCATTTTCGAATTTGAATTAAGATTGGAAGAAATAATAAGATGGACAAAGTTTGGATGAAATCTAAATTTTTTGAAACGGATTTGGTCCAAAGAAACATGGGGTCTAGAATCAATATTTCGATTAGCCACATTTTCGCCGTGTTAATAGCGATAAATCTGAGGGTATAATTATCCATTAAAAATTTCTGAATTTTTTATTTTTGTTTACATAATCCCGTTTTAGAAATATCGGTATAGGTCCACTTTTTGGTATGTTCGCTGTATTTTCATTTCTAGTACCTGTCAGTATATCTATGGTGGAGGGTATCCAAAGTTCGGCCCGGACGAACTTAACACTTTTTCACTTGTCTTTAATTGAGTCTTTGTCAGTTATACAGGGTGAGATGAAAAAACTGCAACCAACTTCAGACTGCTATCATTTTTAAGCCACTCTTCCCAATGCTGTTAAATTTTTTCCAGTGACAGCTCATTTTATTGTATGCAAGCGTGCAAAAGCATTTTGCTAAGAATTTTCCAGAAAAAAAGTTATTCGTGATGGAACAGAAAGAAAATAGACTGAAAGGAGCTAAAGAGCATGGCCGAAAGTGGTGAATTGCCGAATTTGATTTTCTTCGATGAGAAAACATTAGTTGTCCAGCAGTTTGTAAACAAATAAAATGCTCGTGTTTACTTGCCAAAGAGGTCAGCTGAAAATGTGAACCTTCGGTTGGTCACCAAAACTCAAGCGCCGGCCATGGTGATGGTGTGGGCCGCCATAACAGCCGATGGCAGCTCTTTGCTCGTATTAATCGAATATCATCAGAATGAATGCGAAAATATTCTGGAGGGTGTATTAAAGCCTTGGGCACGCAAACATTTTGGCCCCAGACCTTGGACATTCCAACAGTGCCATCCTGAGTGCGATGGTGGACGCCCTACCCAAGAATGGTTTTAAAAATGAGATTCCTCGCTTCATTTCCAGCACACAATGGCCACCAACATCTCCGCATACCAATCCGTTGGACTATTGTGTCTGGAGTATTTTGGAAAGCAAGGTTGGCACTAAAAAATACCAAATTGTCGATCACCTTAAGCAAGCGGAATGGGCCAAAATACCGCACAGCAACAATCGGGCAGCGTGTGATGGTTTCATTGGCCGTTTGAAGGCCATAATTCGCGCCAAAGATGACCAATTCGAACAAATCTAAACTTATTCTAAAATTTGACGCTATTTCCGACATTTTTGCTTTCATTCAACAAAATTTATTTATTTTATCTCACCCGTATATATTACATAACGCATATGAAAAAGCTAGAAATTATAGTACGTTTACATTTAACCGGATTTCGTTAACCCAGTGGGTTTCAATTGCCAATGCCGGTAAAAAGTTCTAATGTATATGCCGTTTTATTCTATGAAGAATGATTTTCTGCATTAAACTTTCCCAGCAAGCAGATTGAGTAAATTGAATACGAGAGGACATTTAATAAAGAACAAATTCGAATTTTATGCGTACTCAATTTTCCTGTTGGCTCATTTTTATTAAACATATAATTTGTCATATTCATATTGACACGAGTATTACGTTGGAATAAAATGGTTTTTGCTGGTTTTTGCAGTTACCTTTTATAATTGGACCCTGAGTGCAATTCTCGTGTAGAAAATATAATTTTTGACAGCTCTTATCCGACATATTTATCTGGTAGAGAACACTTAATAACATATCGAACCCTGTTTCGCCTCCACCTCAAATAGTATTATGCCCATAGGAAGTAATTAAAATGTGCCTACGACTAACCTTCCCCACATGAAAGAAGACAAAAACAAATATTTATTCTCAGGATTTGATTGTGAGAGTGTTTGTGTCTCACCAAACTAATATCAAATTTCTATGCCGGCTTATATTCAAAGAAAAGTACAAACTAAACATGCAACGTCATTTCCATTCCACTGACCCAGTGGGGATGTTTGCAATTTTTTTTTTTAACTCCTCGTATTTGTGTGTGCATGTTTTTTATTCCATTTATAGCCGGTTTACATGGCGGTCAGGAAGTAATTTAGACATGTGTGTGTGTTTTTTTTTTTTTTTTGAAGTAGTTTTTGTAGGTAAGACAACTGGCCACAAACACCATGACTTGTTTAGAAAGCGGATGATATTGTGGTGTGACCGACCACCTCTACCTTCAAGACCATTTGTTTGGCCACTCGGTACGTCAGCATGTCGAACTATCTGTTTGTCGCAAAAATTGAAGTCACACACACTTATATGGAAACGGACACATTCAATCGGCCAGAACTTAAACGTGCGGTATGATTTTTTTTGGTGTTGCTGGTATTGGCTTAGCGTGGTTGGGTATTAAAATGAGTGGACATTAAAATGATTGAAAGCTAAAAAAAAAAATAGAAGTGTGACACATTTTTTTGCATGTTGGCCGTTTATTCATGTTTTTGTTTTCTTTTTGATTTTTTGTGCATTTTGTCATTAAGCCAAGATAGAAATTGACATGTGTAGGAATGTGTCAATTGAAGTGGAGAATGAAGAAATATGACAAAGCTCTAGAAATCAAATGATAAGCGCTCTACAACAAAGTTCTTCAATGAATTACAAGTAGCAAAAAGAAAAGTTGTAATTTTTTTTATTCATAAATACAGTCGTCGGCATGTTGGTTTATAAAAACTAGTCTTTGGTATAAAAAATGTGTGGCAGATGCGTGATCCATCACTTGGCTCGATTTTATATGCCTTTTGAGCTGGGGAATCTTCATCCATTCTCACAGATGGTCCGAGAATAGATGGTATAGCTCATGGTTCATTCGACGGCGATATTCACCATCGACGCAGATCAGCCCATAGATCTTCCTGAGAATTTTTTTCTCAAACACTCCACGAGCTACCCATGCTTCGGATCCATACAACAGCCCGGGTAATATCGGCGTCATGTAGAGTGTGAGTTTGGTCTTGCTTTTGAGTTGCTTACTCAGACCATAGTAGCATCTGTTGGACAACATTATTTTCCTCCGGATTTCAAAGCTGATGTTATCAGTTTTGTTTATGGCGGTATCGAGGTATAAAATCGTTCACTACCTCGAAGCTGTAGTTTTCAAGTTCCACTGTTGGTCCGAGTCTACTGGACGTCTTGCGCGTTGATACCATCAGCGCGTTGATACCATCAGTCCTACTTTGGCAGACTCCACCTCAATTCGTTCAAAGGTGGCTTTTACCGCTCGCAATGTTCGAGCCATTATGTCGATGTCGTCGGTGTAGGTGAGTAACATATGCAGTTTGTTGTACAGAGTGTAATTTCTGTTCACATTTGCATCTCGTATGACCTTTTCAAGCAGGATGTTGAAACGACAAACGTTCACCTTGTCTGAATCCTCATATATATATTATTGAAGGTACTAGCCGTATTAAATTTATCAAAGTATAAAAGCCTGCTAGCAGAAAATTGCTCGCTTCTACTTAGATATTTTGAAGGTCTTAGTCGCATTTTCCAACCCATATTTCTATAAGTCGAGGTGTGAAAAGACCTAGACTAATGCTGGGCAAACATGGGAACTGGTGCCCTTGCTTACATGTATCAATAAGCTCGTTCTCTGCGTTCTCTTTTTGTAAGACATTTCATATGGCGGTTTCTCATTTACTCCCCTCTGTTATGCTACGTTAATCTCAAAACTATAGAAGGTCTGATAGACAAATTTTTCAAGAAATACCGCTACACATCGCTTCATTTTTTTTTAATTTCAAGAATAATTCTATAATTTGTAGTAAAAGAGAATCAAATTGTTTTCGATTTTTTTATTTATTCATAATGATTGTTTTTCAATAAAAGTAAGGATACGGCAACGATGAAATTGGAGCATAATGATTAGTCGGTGGAGCACCATATATAGACGGTGGAGGCATATAAGCAGGACCAACGGGTGGAGCATAATAATTAGTCGGTGGAGCACCATATATAGCAGGTGGAGACATATAAGCAGAACCAACGGGTGGAGCATAATAATAAGGACTTGGATAATTGAAATATCTAGTTCCTGCACCAGCATTACCACTAACAGTAACACCACCAACGCTAGCACTACCGCCTGCACCTGCACCTCCAGTAGTACCGGCACCAGCACCTCCAGTAGTACCGGCACCAGCACCTCCAGTAGTACCGGCACCTGCACCTCCCGTAATACCGGCTCCTGCACCTCCCGTAGCACCGGCACCTCCAGTAGTACCGGCACCTGCACCTGCATTAGCACCTCCAGTAGTACCGGCACCTGCACCTGCATTAGCACCTCCAGTAGTACCGGCACCTGCACCTGCATTAGCACCTCCAGTAGTACCGGCACCTGCACCTCCAGTAGTACCGGCACCTGCACCTGCATTAGCACCACCAGTAGTACCGGCACCTGCACCTCCAGTAGCACCACCGGTACCAGTACCTCCAGTTCCAGTACCACCGGTACCAGTACCTCCAGCAGCACCACCGCTACCAGTACCTCCACCGATACCAGCATCCTTAATAGCCTGAGTTATTATCGGGAGAAGGTCCTTGAGAGTTTCCGACGGTGATTTTGTAGGAGCGGCAGTTGTTGTAGTTGGCGGCGGCGTTGTATAACCATATTTATTTTTATTCAAAAAATGTCCAAAGGTTCGATCATCCGTATCAGTGCCGTCAGTTATTGCAGTCGAAAAGACACAACTTGTGGTTAACAGAACCAAAGCGAACGTACACGGCAACCTTAGAAATGACATCTTTCTAGTTTAGTTAACAGTGACCGAATGAATTGTCCAAATTCGACATTTCCCTATTTATACAATAAATGGAGTTAACCAATCGTCTATAAACTAGTTCAAGCTGCAGGTAGATTAGTTCCATAGAAATGTTCTTTTGTGTTTAATTTGATTTTTATGATGGTCTGCTATCACCCAAGATGTGATTTGAATATTTTTCGAATAAAGAGGAAAATGCATTGGAGGCTGGTACTAAAAAAATTGTTATTGGGGAAGGGGTAAGAAGATACACACAAATTAAGAACAATTTGATGTCTTCTACAAAAGATTTTCCTGAATGTGATTAGTGACGTTTGGTTTATGAATATTATTGAATGGTGATTGAAAGTCGACACCGTCATGTGAGCATGTATTGTAATTTTATACGTAAAATCGAACACACGTGTAACGACAGGTCAAAAAACTTGTTAATTGCGATATGTGCGGAGAAATGTATTACGACTGTCATGATGCTCACTGTACGGCATCGAAGAGAAGATGTAACTGTGTTGTATGTTCTGTGACAATCCCAATCCTGATGCCAGAGGATATCTCTGAATTTATGTCATAAAGGATATAAAAATGAAGGAGAATCTCCAAATCGAATAATATAGAACCTCCAAACTTTATCAGTCTTAAGGTAGTCCATATTGATTCGTTTCAGAATTACATCCTTTCCATCAGATAAAGCGCTATATTTTATCTATCTATATCTATATATATAAACATGAATTGCTGTTCGTTAGTCTCGCTAAAACTCGGGAACGGCTCAACGGATTTTTCTTATTTTAGTCTTGAAGTGTTCGTGGAGCTTCAGGGAAGGTTTAAAAGGTGAGAAAAAATCGAAAACCGCGAAAAATTTGCAAAAATGTATTATGAAGCATATTTGCTTTTCACGAATTTAGTATCGAGCTACTTTGATTGCACCACGTTGTAGTTGTTATTTTGAGATATTTTGAGCTAGAATTGGTAGCGTATCATTCTTTTAAGCCGTTATTTGTCAATTATTGAAAATTTTCAAAATATGTTATTTTATTTTTATACCCTACACAACTATGTTGTCAGGGTATTATAGCTTTGTGCAGCCCCAAATGTTTGTAACGCCGCGAAATATTGGTCCTAGACCCACCTTTAAGTATACCGATCGTCATATCTCGACTAGCTGAGTCGATCTAGACATGTGTGTCCGTCCGTCCGTCCGTCTGTCCATTATAATTTGTAAACACGATACAGGCCACAGTTATGGACCAATCTTCACGAAATTTTGCATGTAGGATGGGTTCTGGCCAATGAAGACCCCTATTGTTTTTGGAAAAGATCGGTTAATATTTAGGGGATGAAATGGACCAAATACTAAATTTTGGTCGGTTTTTCTGGTCGCTCCAGAGGCCGCAATTATGGCCCAAACACCGCGAATTTTTGCATGGAGAAGGGGATCGGGTCAGAGAATAAGCATGCATGTTTTGATAAAGATCGGTCAATATTTAGCGGGTCAAATGGACCCTGACTTTTGTGTGAAAAATGACAAAATTTGTATTCTATGGCATACATATTTACTCCTGGAGGATGTAGACCCCAGGAGTTGATAGCATATCCAAGAGGAGTGGTTGGCCTTTAAATTGATACCAAATATAGTGATGTATCTACTCAGATGTGGGAGTTACAGTCAAATATTTACAGGTGCTTACGTATTCAGATATTATTCAGTAACCCATTACCACATTAGAGGGAGAAATATCGCACATTAGAGGGAGAAATATCATGAAGTTCCAGTTATGGTCAAGAACAACGCCTACAATTTTCGGTGATGATCAGATTAAAATTTTGGGATGAAATGGACCGAAAACATAATTTTTTGTGTGTTTTCGAGTAGAGTATAATCCGAAAATCACAACACAACCCACCGTGAAGGTAATCTGGAGAAGTAATTAGAAGGACTGTACTGAATATTCGAAAAAAGTAAGGAAGAGGTGTTGTTAACCTCTAATCGGACAAGAGGGGGCAAATATCACGAAATATTACTCAGACTCGGAATAAACATCCTCAGAAAGTTAGAGTTCGTGGTAGTTGTGTAGGGTATCGCATGGTCGGCCCCGTCCGACTATACTGCTCCGCTCACTGGTTTTTAATTGAGTTGACATTGTATTGATTTTTTTTTTTTTTTTTTTGATATTACAGAAAATAATTTAGATGTATGTATATCATTGAATACACACACGATCATTGTATGTGCACATTTTTCACAGAATGGACGTACATTTTGGGACTAATGCAAGGATGGAAAATCAGAAGCAATTCTGAATCGAGTTCGTGTTTATTCAGAGTATTCTGATTTTAAGATCCATTTCCTAAATTAATTTGAAAATAATAATAATAATAGGAACATGTTGTTCCTTAAAGTACCTGAAATGGTTATATGCCTAATCGTTTCTCAATATATTTGAACTTATAAACAGAACACCTCGCGTATATCCGATACCAAAAATGTGAGAGAGAAAACTAATAAATGTGATATTTTCTTTGCAAAAATGTATAATTAAGCTCAGCTGGAAAGAGAACAACTAACAAAAAACAGCAATATTAGAAAAAATAGCCAAGACATAACATCTAATTTGAAGGTTATACCAAAACCTCCGTCCGATGCCACTTATTCGTTCGAACTACCGATAACACTCAGGTTGGAAAACGGGGGTAAGAACTTCCACATACTAAAAATTGAACGGGAAATAATTATGGAGTCTTTTTTAAAACGTTAAGCTACATTGCATAACTTCTGTGATGATGTTTTTTATTTACAGGAATTCTTTATGCCTAATTATAGTCAACTCTATGAGAAAATTCGGTCAATGTCCTTATAATACCGAAAATGAGACCTGTATGCAGATGCTATATCAAAACTTAGACCTAAGTAGATAATAATCTTAATAGATAATCGCAAAAATATATCTTACCACCAATATCCCGGTATGAAATATTTTAAATACTACAATGGGAATGGAGATATTTTAATTTTTGGTAGGAAGATTTGACACCACATGGGAAATTATGGGGGATACCATGCAATCTTGGACCAAAATTGATAATTCTTTGTAAGGAGATTTTGTACTCACTGATTATCTAAAATATATAATTACAGCCAATTTGGTTGAAACAATGACCAAACTCCCAAAATACAGAATAGTGGACCAATAATAACAATTTTTAATAGGATTCATGCTGCCAAATAAGACAACCAATTACAGCAGATTAGATTGAAAAACGTGCCCAAATACAATGACAATGTGGAGTGACATTATATGGAGGCTTTTTAGAAGATTGGGCGAATTTGACCATCCAAAATATAAATTACAGCCAAATATTAAGAGGTTACCCGGATACTTGGGCCAATATGGACAATGTAGAGATACTTTCTGTTCAATAAGTATCCCTTATATTAAATTAAAAGCAATTTTGTTGAAACCCGTTCCCAAGATCTTCAATATATATATATTTACTAAAAATTACCCAACCACATTAAGCTAACAACTAGCTTTTAGCCGAATAGATAAATAACATTTGCAATTTTGAACATATATAAAGCAAATTCGTTGAAAGAAAAACAGACATCTTAAATACTCCACACCCTTCATAATACTGCTAGGAATTCTGTTATTGGTCATATTTAAAGTGCCAATTAATTTTGTCGCCGTCGTACATTATTTATTTGGCAAGCGAAAACATGTTACTACCACATTTGGAATGTCATGACGATTGGAAAGGAGCACCAATTTGGGAATGCAAATCGGCATTTGCTGCTCACTGTTAGTAAATGTACATGCCGGTCTTATTTGTTATACTACTGTATAACAAATTAAATGAGGGAGCCTCCAGGTTTAGATCGTACAGAAGTTGTGGACAGTATCAGCTGGGTTAGAAGTTAACACCGTCTGAAGGTCATGTCGGAATATATCGAGTCCGTTTTCTACAGCTGCGTTCGCCATAGATATTTAAATCGCCAAATCGGGTTCTTACCCCCATCTGATCCGCGCTCGTATCGGGGCAAAAGTCTTCTTCCAGTTCGTGGAAAAGTTCGGTTTTACCGAGGCTAGAGGTACCGTGTACGCGTGGCGGCATGTGCAAGATTGGCATATTTGTGGATTTCAATGGCGCATTTGACTTCCTTCGGAGGTCGAGTGTAGTGAGATTGCTCTTTGGGTGAGTTATTTCCGAAATAGGAAGGCTTGTGTTGTGGAAACCATTGCTTCGATCTTAAGCTATGTGCAGCCTGATTGCCTACATTGTTTCATTTGTGGTCTCGCAACAGATGATCCATCATTAGTTTCCATAATGATAGATCATCTGTTGCGGTAGCTAGCTTCCTCCTTCAAGGTTTGTGCGTATGCAGATAACTTGTTCATCACAATTAAGGGAACTTGAAAATCATGGTGTGCAAGCTATGCATATTATGCAGGCCTGGAGTGACCGAGTTTGAGGGGAGGTGGCAACCGAGAAGATGCTGCAGAAAGGTAGTTTGGCACACAGCCGTCCTCCCTTTATTCGAGCTGGTGAACGTGCATAAGATATTCGAGTACAGTTAAGTATCTCGGAATAACGGTGTCCGAGCGATTGATCAAGCCTTCTGATATGGTGTAGGGGGATAGTAGGCGGTACAGCACTGGCTCACTCACAGCAGCGTCAAATAACTCTTTACACATCTAAATTAAAAAAAAATGTCAGGCCAAAGGTTATCATATGGTGTAATTCAGTTGATATATTATAATTATTGTGTTCGAATTGTCGGAAATGTTTTAAGTTATACGAAAGACAATTTACAATATATTAAATCGAGCAGCAAACGATGGAAGATTGAAGTTAAAGCAAGGAGGTGGCCTGAAACCCAAAAAAAAAGAAAAAAACCTTTACTGTCTGAAGCAAATATGTTTGGACAAGAGGTTTTCATTCGTCAATATGAAAGTTTCACACCCGGCCGAATATTCTTATAT